GGCCTAACTAAAAAATTAAAATTGTCATAGTATGTAACTCAAGTTAAAATAACACTTTTCATTACTCGTGCAGCTTAATCAAATATTATATGTCATTTTAAACGACCCATTGGTATTAACATAGTAACATCAATGTATTTTTAAAAATTAGACAGCGACGTTCTCTCAGAAGTTGTTTTGTAGACGTTTATCGTTGATGACCTTTTGACCTCCTGAATTCTGCAATGAGATTTCGGGTCGATTCAGCCGAGACGGCCCGAGTGGAGTTTCATGTAAATGTTTCGTACGGAAAAAATAATCGCGGCCGGGGTATTCCGATTTTATTTTAACGACGCCATTTCTTCTTTTCAATTCTCTGAGTGCTGTATGTTGCTGCTGGAGTCGCCCAAGATAAAACAAGTTGGTTTAATCTGAATCCACTATAAAATCGTCATGTTACTATTACTCAATTGAAGAAGAAACTGTCAAATAAATTTGTCGCAAATTGGTCACCATGGCGGAAGCAGTAATTGAAGAATACGTGTCAACGCTCAACGATTTGAAGCAGAACAGCAAGCCGATGATCAACGTTTTGACGATGCTGGCCGTAGACAATATAAAATACGCAAAAGATATTGTTGGGCTGGTAGAGTCGCGAATTCAGAAGGTTTTTATCAATATCTAGTTATTCTGTGCTGCTTAGATAATCTAAATTCTAATTGTTAATACTCAGATAAGTATCTAGAGGCCTAGCTAGGTTAGTTGAAGTTTTAAAAGAAGGAGAGGGTAGGCTCCCAACCTGGCCAGGCTTAATTTCAGTCTTGTTGTATGTTTGTACTACGGCATGTCGGGAAGGTTTTTAGGTACGGTGTTGCCTACATTTGTAAGTAAGTGCAGCAAACATAATGCTATTATCAAGTATTCGACTCTTGCTATTATTGTACAGTGTAAGTAAATACTTTTGGGCTTCCATAGGCCACCAGAATGAACGTTAGTTACAGCAGACTGGACTTTGCATTCAATGTAATGTCAATGACATGGTTTAAAAAATAATGTTTTTACTTTATTTGGAATTTAGTTTTGAAGTTGTTAATCATAATCAGTGTTAATACAGATGTGGTAAAACACATTGTTTTACTACTGACTAGATGCTTTTGATGTATTTTTTTTTAAATAATAAATTTGTTAATAAACAAATTTTTTTTGCAGTACCAAACATTCAAATAACTTTCATTCTGATGGCCTATTATGGTGCTAATACAAAGATGACTTTAAAGTTAGGCCTACTACTATAGCTGGGCAAGAAAGGATGCAGAAAATCCTAATGCAAATTACAATCTCGATTTGTCACGTTCAAATATATTAAATAAAATGTAGGTAATTATTGAAATAAGGAGCTGAGAAACTATAGATGTTTTAAGCCTATGTATCAGCAGGGAGAAGTAAAAAATTAAACAGTAATACAGTAATGATTTAATATGTCAACGCAAGTGTAGACGAAGTTGCTTCAATTTCAATCATTGTTTAAATACATTACTTTTAGTCTCGCATATAGTTAGTTATTACAGTATTTCAAACCTCAGATATTTATTGGTCATTTTAAATAGTAAATATTAATTATTCAATAGGATTGCAAATCAAATTGTATGTTTTTATTAATATACAGTATTTATATATATTATAGTGAAAAACAAAGGAATGATCAATGTACTATTGTATATATAGCATGTTATTGATCAATTCCAATCTTCACTGTGTGTTGTGCACTTTATTGAAAATAAAAGATAATTATTTTCTTGATTTGTGTTTTCTATGGTACTCCATGGGGTACGCAAAATAGGTTTTGTTGAAACATGTCTAATATTTTCAGTAGCTGTTTTTTTTCCTCGCTAGATACTTCAAAGCTCCAACTAATAAAAAAGAGCTGGTCTTATAATGGGTTATAATTTCTGCGGCTTGTCATTGCGATTACTGAATTTTCTGTACACTTTTCAAATCGTGGGAGCATAAGCTGATGCAGAACAGCGTAAAGAGGTGTGAAGATGATCAACTAAACTGAAGAAAGCTGTACAAGAATGCTAAGTGTAAATCAGCAGAGCTCAACCTGCTGCCTACAGCCTGTTTGCTGATATCACCACACAAACATTTTACATGTATGCAGTTAAACTACTTCATGTCATTACATAATGTATACTATTGTACAAAACATACTACAGTATAATAACATGCATTATATAGGCTGTTCCTTTCGCAGTGACAAGAAACCGGAAGATAGACAAGTGGAGATCAATATACAATGCATGTCTGTTTTAATAAATATATTCTACTTCTCTTTTTATTTTATGTATCTATAAACTTTCATTTCAATTTCTTGTACACTGACATTTTTAAGAAATCACTTATAGTTGATGAAGATATTAACTGGTGAAGAGAATGACCACCTCAAAGTGCTGAGCAAGATTCTACAACTGCAGGACCAAAACAGTCAAAATGTCCAGTCACAACCTAAGAGCATTACCGTCACTGCTGCCATTAACATACAATATATGCAAATCAGCAAACAACTATACAAATACTGTACAGTATAATACAAACATAGATAAAATCTCCATAGATTACAGATTGCAATGACAAGCCAGCAGTAATAGTATAACCTTTGTGTCGGTACACATTACCTTCAACGTTATAAAGTATAAACATTAAATATAAATTATATATGTAGGCCAACTGATCTTAACTTTAAACTAAATAATAAATGGACTTAGAATATTGAGTTGGAAAGCATGTTCTAATTGTCTTTCGGTAATTTTATTCTGAAAAGTTATTTTTTCATGTTACATTTTGAGCCATTTTGAAACCTGATATTCATGATTAAGGGGTGATCCAATGCGATGGAATCGATGTGGTTTTGTCTACTTGAAACTAAGCTTGCAGTAAAGAAAAGCAGTGCAACTTTCCTGTTATACAATCTTGTCGAAATATTTGCCGTCGAATTAGCACCTGTGCACTTTACTCTGTCCTTCTGATGTCAATAGAAATTATTACGTTTAAATATACTGTGAACCAGTGATGTAATTAACTGATTTAATGTAAATTAATTGGTGTTGCGTGAAATTTTGATAATTTAAAATAATGTTTGTTGTGAATATAGATACAAGAAATATGTCTATTATAATTGCAAAAAGTAATATTGTACATTGGGTTAATTTTTTCAGTCATTTTCTAAAATAATAGTAAATTGAGGGATGGGAAAAGTTTGCCTACATAAATTTATTTTGTCAGATTTGAATTGACCTGTAGTTCAAATTTTTTAGACAGTTGCTGCTGAGGGTTTTTGGGTAAATTCTAATAGAAGTCAAGTTGCACATTTTATATTGCGAAGTGATTTGAAATGAGACTTGCATGATAGTCAATTGCGCTGGCTGCTAAGGGATTGATCATCAACATAAAAAATAGACGTTCGATAGTTAATTTTTTAACAATTTTTTCCACAGATATTTTTTTAAGTTTGCTTTTTAACCAAAAAATTAGCCAATACATATATAATATAGCTTACATTGTAAACCTTTTTTTGCATTCCAAGTACTGTATTTTAATTCTGTAAAGAATTAAACATACTTAACATATTAATTGTAGGACTGCTATACATATACTCAAGTCACAGTTTTTGTTTGAAATATTAACTAAAAGCAATTTGCATAATTTAAAATAAAAGGTATTTTGTGATGTGATGGTATACTTCTGCATAATGTTAAAAAAAAAAGTTGAAATCAGTAGCGTATCTAGGGGGAGGGCTTGTGGGGGAGGTGGGCACTCTACCTAAAAAGCTCGCTACCTTCCAAACAGACTTTTTGAAGCAAAACATGCATGCTCAAACATATAAAAAATCAACTTGTATCTAATTTTTTTTTTTGTGAGGGGGCCCTCCCCTCCCCCATTTCAAGACTTCTAGATACGGCACTGGTTGAAATTCAGAAATTTTGAATTGATTTTTGATAATTTTTAACATGCAAAGTGTTTTCCTCCCTTTAGGCAAGTGGCAAGGAAAAACTTCCCGTTCTGTACCTTATGGATTCCATTATAAAGAACAAAGGTGGTGTTTACCTGCAATACTTTTCTAGCAACTTGGTTCAAACGTTTGTAGGTGCATTTGCAAAGGTTCGACCACAGATGATTTTACTTTTTCTGTTTCATATCAATATTTTTAACTCATTTCATTGATTCAAATTTATATTTATGCAAGTAATAATGACTGCTTCAAGTTGATGTGGACCCTGATATTGATTGCAATGGTTTAAGCTGCAATTGCAGAGCTTTAAAGGGACATTTTGCACTGCAGAATTATTAAAAAAAAATTACTGCAGTAATTTAATTTTAAAAAATCGCCTACTCCTGCACTGTTTGCGCTGCCTTATTGGTTAAGTGAGGCTTTTTTTTTTTTTTGAAGATAGAGGAATGCGGAAAACAATATAAAAAATTTGGGGTTTTTTTTTTTTTTTAGAAAATACTTTTGCCAAAATCATCTGAGCGGAGGAGAAAATAAAAATAATATTTTATTGGTCAATGTAAAGAGTAGTAATGGGATGGTTAAATGCGTTAAATTTATATAATTAGGATGAAATATACTGTACATATCTTTCGGCGATTTCAAGGCAGTGGCGGGCATAATAAAAATAAAGAAAAACTTTTATTTTTTGTGTTGCACTAATTGGCCAAAAATATATATACTTATATTTTTTTTATTCGAAATCATCATTGTTCGCAAGTAACGGGTTCTCTAAACAAGGTATTAGGGAGTTTTCGATTTGTACAGCGACGCTGGAACAGAATCACTCATGCGTGACCATCCTGTATTCTCTGCATACGTAGATTTGGCCAAATTGCATTCCAGAATCTGTTCAACAAGGTGACCTTAACGTTCTAGCATGCGCAGATGACTTTTACTGACGTCATTACGTCCTACCGTCGTCGTGTAATCGAAGGCTACCTAATAAGAAAGTCTTGCCTTATGGCTTGGGCAAAAGAAAAGGGAGTTTATTGGCCTAATGCGTGCTAGAACCCACCAGGGCTTTCTGGAACACGCTGGCCTCCACCGGAATTGTTCAGTCTGCGTTTCCACAACACACCACTACCGAAGCCAACCCTTACTTTAGGTTAAATTTGGGATCATGGTAGAGTAGTTTGGTAATAAACCATAGGCCTACACTTGGTTATGGATATATATTTATTAAATAATGAAACAATAGACTCCTTTCATGCAACTTTGATTCCATTATTTCCTAAATTTGATGTATCCTACATTCATAATAAAAATGTAAACATCCTCTACCCTTCCCATGATGCTTTTTTCTTTATTTGAGGCGACCCTTTATGCGAAAATTCAGAATGCGAAACTAAATCCCTATTTCAAAAACACAATTTTTAAAAATCAAAAATAATTGGCCACCGTGGGGGTGTATCCCCACCCTAAGCCCATGGATGTGCTGGTTGCTGACAAGGCCCTGGTGTACTTGCTGCCAATTTAATAAATTGGGTCTGACATTTTGAAATTGCTCCCATGGGCAAGAATAGGTCAACATTTCAAAACCTTTTTTTTTTGGGAAATTTTTATACCTTGTTTCGCAAACTTAGTTTTTAAAATATTGTCAGAGGTGGGCGGGAAAAATATTTTCTCATTCAGGAAAATGAATGCCCAAACCTGGGCGGAGGAGAAAATAAAAATAGAATTTTATTACGAATTAATCAGTGTAGTAATGAGATTGCTGAAAGCTTTACATTTATATAATTAAAGAAGAAATTTATATACTGTATATTTTATTTTTGGAGATGTCAGGTTAGCAGAGGCCGTAATAAAAATAGATATAAAATTTTTTCGTGCAGTATGGTGCACTAACCAAAAATAGTAAAAAAAAATTAAAATCACCATTTTGGCAGTCCAAGGGTTTGCTAAACGAGGTATAACAATAGTCTTCCCTAAGGTGTAGCAAAACTTGTAATTATAGAATATAACAATAAAATAACTCTATGATGTTTATCTGATGCTTAACGCACTTCTATATTATGGTTTTGCCCATTTTGATATTGGGGTTTGGTGCCAAGTGTTGTTCTGTGCATGCATTTTGGAATGTACAATTTATTTACAGGATGATACAGGTTCCAATCTTCAATTTTGAAAGTCAGATATTGGCAATTATAATAGTGTTGACCCCTTATATGTATTTCCATGTTCTGCTACGCAGTTAACATATTTAGGTGGTGGATTCAAGGGGGACTGGCCCCACTAATTTTTTAAGAATTTTTAAAAATTTGGAAAATTAAAAAAATTATTTTATAAAATTTTGGTTAAGAGAGTGACATTTCCGTCCCTCTAGAGGTGCCATAATCGTAAGTTTTCTTACCTCAGCCCCAACATGGTGGGGCTGAGGTGGTGTAGACTGTCTGTTTGTCAAAGCCCCTCCCTGGCCCCCTTTTATTTCAAGTTCCTGTATCCGTCACTGTATTTGGAAACAAACGAACAAATAGACCTACAGTATATAAATTTAATTTGTATTGAACACTGCAGGTAGATGAGAAGACCAGAGAATCAATGTTCAAACTGAGATCCACATGGAATGGACTTTATCCAGATGTGATACTGCATGGTTTGGACAAGAGAGTTAAGGGGATTGATCCTGCATGGCCAATCATTACACCACCACCAACTAGTCCAGTTCCTCCTGCAATTCATGTCAACCCCAAGTTCATTAAAAAGGTATAATAATATGTACTGTATTAGCCAGAAATATGTTGCCACAAACCACACAGTTATTTATTTATCAAAGTAGCCAGCCAGTACAGTACTACTTCTGGTCAGTAGCATAACAACTATGCGCTCTTGTCCGCCAGCCATATCATGTATTCATCATTAAAAACATTTGGAATAACAATCAAACATGATTAAAAAAGATGCACATCTAAAATCCCACAATGACATTGGAGATCAGGACCCAAAAGTGCCCTTCAGTCTCAGAAAGCCACAGGGCCTGCCATTGCTTCTGGTGGCCATGTATTGATGTGTAATATGAAATTGTAAAAAAAAAAACGAGTTACAAAAATAGTGCTCCAATTACTGACAAATATATATTCATACATCCATCCATATGTATATCAAAAAATCATATAATTTCATTTTTTTTCCATAAAATAATTATATTTTCTATGTATTTTCAAATTCAATTATAATGTATTTAAAATTTGTTTAAAATTCATTCAAACATTGAAAAAATTTCCAAAAATATTTCTTGTTATTTGTAATTCTTTGCTTTATATTTAATTCATGTACCATTTGTTAGAACATATTTTTTTTTATAATGAAAATGTTGTCCATGTAAAATATGTTTGTAAATAAATAAATAAATTACCTGATGAAGAAATATGATTTTAAAAATATTCGGCAATACAGTAGTGCTCTGAAATCCTTTACCATCAACTGCGTTTGACACGCGATTGAAACGCGATGAAAATTCGAGGGCAATATTCAGCGAGGACACGCTCGATAGATTTAGAATGAAACGTAAGCAGTGTGGAATTCTGAAAAACTTTGCAATTAACGGTAACTCAGCGGTCCGCCATGGTTGAAGCCGATTGAAAGACAGTAACGAAAATGGGTCATTCTGGTGCAAGGAAGCGTAGCGAGCTGTTTAGGACATATGGATTCAATTTTCTCAATAAATAATATAGGACCTATCATTCAAGTTGTTAGGTTATTACGGCTTACCTGGACTTTGTACACTAACAAATCATTTTAAGACAATGTTATATAATAGTTTTAATAACACAATTACCCTATTTTACTTGTAATGAGGACCTATATACTTAAATGATATTAATATCATGTCTTTTTCTCAAGCCTAGTCCAATAATAATTTGTAGTTCTAACAAAATCTGTAATGCAACAAGTTAAACTGTATTACTTATTTATATAATTTTGTTGGTTTGGCTTATAAATTAATACTCAATAACAAAACTATATGTTGAATATTTATAATATTATTATAATAATTGTGGTGTGATAATGATAACAATAATTATGATGATAATATATTAGTTTTTTTATTCCAATACTGCATCCCCCTTTACCGATTTACAAAGTTGAAGACCGAATGTCAAAACCCGCCGTCAACAACTGTAATGATTTAATGGTCGCTTTGTGTAAACTTAACCCACATTATCTGTCCTTAGTGGACAACCTGCCAAGCTTCTGACCTACTAAACGGTTTTCGGCGCGCCAGAAACCTTGTAAAAATGAAAGGTATCCTCATTTTGGCTGTCAATTGAATTTTAAACAGCATATGTTTATAAATAAAATGCATAATGCAGGTACTAACAATATTCTAATACAGTAATACTTTGGTTAAAAAGGATGATGGTAACGGACTACTTTGATGTTTAAAGTGTACGATAGGCTTACTAAGATCAAACTATATTTAATTTCGTTTTATCTTAATTTTAAGATTCACCAGATTTTGTAATCATGTAATTGGGAAAATAGATAAATTGTTGAAATAAAAAAAGACCTAACAACAACAATATATGCAATAATTTATGATTATAATAATAATAATAATAATAATAATAATAATAATAAGTTAATCAACAACAATAATGATAATAAAAATAATAGGCCTAATAATAATAATAATAAGATAATCAACAAAGTAATGGTGATGATAATAATGAATAACAATTATAATAATAGCAATAAGGGTAATGATAATAATAACAATAATAATAATTAAATAAAACAGAACTAACAGTTGACATAATAAATAGAATATAGCATTGATGATAATAAAGTCAGTACAAGAACAGGGTTTTTTCCGCTATCTCTATCGACCGATTTACAACAATCGTAGGCCGAATGTCAATACCTGCCATTAACAACCGTAATGATTAATGGTCGCTTTTGTGAACAACACACGTTATCATACCTACCAAACGGTTTTCGGCGCGAGCCAGAGACTTTGTAAAAATGAAAAGTGTTCTAATTTTGGCAATCACTTGACGCTACAGCATTTTTCTAAATAATCTATATAATATGCCTATTTTTTTTTTCATTGGTCCCGAAATATTTTTAATTAATTTTCTTCTATCTGGTTTTAAGAAATGACAATAATATTGAATAACTTGATGTTATCACTTTTTATGATGCTAGTATCTTCCAGCATATTTTCATCTGCACCTAATTTTATTCAAATAGTACACTAATTCAGGCGTTACTGTTTCCCTCCACCAAGCTAAAATGCCGTCTACCAGTTCTTGTTGGAGCCTGGGTTTCACATGTCTTCTAAGATGGTGCTTAAGTTGATGCCAAACATTCTCAATCGGGTTTAGATCTGGGGATTCGGGTGGTGTTTTCCACCAGTTGATGTTGTTTTCCATCATGTAGTTAGTTGCTAATCGACTGGTATGTTTCGGTTCGTTGTCCTGTCTGTGCGAATCTGGAAATACATGGCGCACAAATGGGAGTAGTGTGCCTTCAAGAATTTCCTCTACGTAAAAGTTTGCATCCATGTTTCCGCCGAAAATGCAAACAAGCGTCGCACCACTTAGGCTAATAAAATAATACGTTTGCGAAGATATAGTGATAACTGTCCTTTCATTTTGAAGTTCTCGATTGTACTGAACAAGATTTACAGTAATTTGGGGTGCAATGGTAGAATATTGTAACAACTGACTAACACTCTAAATAAATCGACTTAGTGATTGATATGTTTCCTTAATCATGAATGACTGCGAAATTACTTTCATTCCCATGGAGGCCATAACAAACGTGTAGTGCAAATACCACAGCAAACAATATACTCCATTAACAAACGGTTTTTACCGCGCGCCGTAACAAACTCTTGATAAATATAAAATGTTAAAATATTCCATTTAATGGATTTGATTGCTTCTTACAGATGTTGTACGTACCGCTTGGTGCCTTATTTAATAATAACAAACAATGATAGGCATATCCTTTCTATATATACTTTTTTTTATAGGAATATCTATAATGACTGCATTCATATAAAGCCTATAGTTTTATATATTATTTTTATTCAAATTTCTACCATATACATTATTACAAAAATATTTCAAAACAATAAAAAAAACAAGGCAAGGAAAAACCAAACAGGTGATAGACATTTATACAAGTTCGCCAGCTCATAACAGTACAGATATAAACAGAACAATTACCAGTAACCGTAAGAAAGCGATCAACTACAAACATGTTCAATTCAGTGGAAGTTATTTAAAATTATTTATTGAAATACAGTAATTTAAAAGTTTGATTTTAAAAGAGCTAACAGACAAAAACTTAAATTACGAATTTCACCAGCTAATATATTCCAGTTTCCCTTAATGGAATAAAAGTTATCTTATAAGCCCTATTGAATTTACTAAACACTCACTAGGCCTACAGTACACTTCCATAAGAGGTTTTCTTCTTCATTTTTTTTTTATTTCTTTGTCTATGTTGTTACTAAAGTATTTGGTCAAGTGTCATTTCCGTTTGATAATGTTAAATGTGTTCTTTCTTGTCATTCAAAAAAAAAATACAGTTCTGTACCATACTAGCATAATACTAGGCCTATACATACAAACCTGTTTGGCCAATGCTTAGTTTAAGTAGGCCGACGGTATATTATCATAACTACAGTATGTTGATACTCGACCTTTTATTTGAACTTTGTAACGCTTAAAAAACGGATCATAGTAGTTCGCACAGTTAATAAAAATCCTTAATGCCTGACTGGGTATCGATTCTCGTTTTCTTGCTAAAGGTTATCGTATTACCAATCGATGATAGCTCATTAACCGCGAGTTACTCGAGTTTCAATCGCAATTCGCTCGCATGTAGATGGTAAAGGATTTCAGAGCACTACTGTATGTCTGAAAATTTATTTTTATTTACCGAAGGACCAGGAACCAAAACCTGAGAAACCACAGAAAGAAATCCAATTGGAGCTGGAACTTCAACAAAAGAAATCGGAGGATGAAATGAGAAAAGCACTCATTGAAAAGCAGCAACAACTGCTACAACTAAAAAGAAAGGAATTGGAGTTCGAGCTGGAGCAAACAAAGCTAAGGTTAGAAGCCCAGAACGTAGAACTGTCACTCAAAAACCATCAGCTAGAAGCTCAGAGTAGGCTGCTAGCATCTTCGTCAGGAGAGGGACCACTTAAACCAGTCGTGTTTCCAGACCCAGTAGAAGATTCACCAGTTGAAGAGCAACCCTGGATGCAGCAAGCTGCCATGTCTGCAGTAAAACCTCCTGTGCAAGGGGTAAAACCTTGTTTTTTTTTTAATTGGTAAAGTTTCAGTGGTTGAATCACTCAACTACAACCCCTAATTAAAATGTCATTACCTGTGGTCTTCCCATGGATCTGCACTTGATACTTATATATATTTATTTAAATGAAATATGTTATGATTGTTTTGCTTCAAGTGTTATATTATTGTTCCCTTTGCAGAATTTAGTGACTGCTCCTGTGCCTACTCCTACCACAGCAGTTAGAGATCCAAGATTAACATCCAGGGACCCACGTTTAGCACGTCGTGATCCAAGACTCAGGACTGTCCCAACAAGTAGTGTGCAATCAGTGGTTCCACAGGCTGTAGCACCTCAGATTGTTAAAGCTCAACCAAAGCCAACGATTCCTGCTCAAGTAACACCCCAGAATCCTCTTCCTGATCCCTCTGCTAATAATGCCGAACCTGGACCACTAGCTGGTAAGTTGGCACTACTTCCAACTCCAGCTCAGCCAACTTCAGCTCAGCCAACTCCAGCTCAGCCAACTCCAGCTCAGCCTCGCTCTATTCTAAAAAATGCAAAAGAGAAACGACCAGAAGCTATTGTACAGGATATGAGTGGATCGCAGCTAGAGAAAGAAATACCCCATTACCCTAACCCACCACATCCTGCTTTGCGAGATGAAGGAAGAAGGTTTCCTGACTTAATGATGTCTGGACCTGGTCCAAGAATGCCAGTACCCCCTCAGCAAAGAGATGGGCCTATGAATTATAATGGACCAATTGGTCTTAGACCAAGAAGGGATGGCCCTTGTAGGCCAGGTCCATTCCCTCCAGGGTGGAGAGATTTCCCCCCTGAGCAAGACATGAGGATGAATGACTATACACGGGGTGATAGGCTTAATGAAAGAACTTACAAAGATGAATTTGGTAGAGATGTTGTGGATAGGAGGGATGATAGAGAAAGAAGGGATGATTTTGAGAGACGAAGGCGAATTGATAGACTAGATAGGGAAAGAGAACAACGAAGAAGGAATGAACGTTTACGGGATACAAGAAGAGATGAAAGAAATGGTGATGACAGGAGAGGACGGTCAAGAAGAGATAGCAGAGAAAGGGATCGTGACAGAGGAAAAACTCGTAGTTCAAGACGTAGGTCCGCTTCGCCGCATGGACGGTCTCGGTCTCCACGTGATAAGCGTGAGCGTGATAGAGGCACCAGGAGTGATAGAGATAAGAAGGAAAGTAAACCAAAAGAGAAGAAAGTTGATGAAGCTAGAAGTAGTAAAGATGACGAAAGTCAAAGCGATGCTTCAGAAACAAAGCAAAGTGCAATTGTCAAAGATGCCGGTAAACCAATGGAAGAGGTTAAAGAGGAAAAAAAATCAGTAAAGAGAAAGTCTGATGTGATAGAGGCAACAGATGAAATAAAAGAGCAAGCAACTAAGAAAGCAAAGATTGACGATGACAAAGAAAAAGAGCAAACAAAGTAAGCAGACTAAATAAAGTATATACTTTATATTTAGATTAAGTGACACTTTCATAATGTCACATAATTTAAATGACATTTCAACAATACTCACAGCCAAGCACTCAATTGAGACCCTTAGGATGGTTTAATTCTCAACACATGCATAGTTGGATGAATATAGGCCTACCCAAACTATTACATATGGGGTTGCCACACATGGAGTGAAGGCAGTGGTTAACTCACTCATGAGACCCTCCATACCAACCTTCCATTGGTGTTACTCAGAATTCTTTGAGTATATTATTTCCAGCACAGCTTTAAATAGCAAAACTGTTCAAAATCAACACAGAAAACATACAGTATATTTATGACTTTTTTAAAAATCTTTTTACAGGAAGCCTAAAAATAGCAGTGGTGAGTGGGAAGAAGAACCATGGTGTGAAAGGCTGGGACCTTCCAAGGAGAGCCCTGCTAGTCCATTACTAGGACCTTCCAAAGACAGCCCTGACAGTCCACTACAAGGACCTACCAAAGACAGCCCTGACAGTCCACTACTTGGAATTTCCAAAGACAGCCCTGATAGTCCATTACAAGATGTCATTCCACAACCTGTTGCAATGGTAATTGATAAAAGCCCACCTGGACGGAGGGTTAGTATTGACCCATCAGTGAAGATACCTAAGGAGCTATCGGCTCAAATGCTGCCAAAAATACTCGCAAATGTAAGTCTCTCTATTTTCTGTTATTTGGTGAATTATTTGTTACCAGTTCACACAATAGAAATGTACTTTAGTGTACAAATTGTGCCAAGCCTATTTTCCTGGTAAAGATATTTGAGTCGTGAGAATGAATATAGGTTGTAAGAATGCCTGAGATATTGGAGGGTGGGGGTCTGAAACCAGTGGCGGCTCTAGGATGTAATTTATGGGGGGGCCTAAGTATTTATGGGTGTAACTATTGTGCGCAGCGTTTTCTGAGGGCCGAAGGCCCAAGCGGTGGGTGGGTATGGGAGGGGGATGTCCCCTCCTCCCAAAACAAGATTTAAAAAAAAATTCTAGTTGGCCAGAAATGGCTGGGATGGGAAAACTAGGCCTATTTTTTGTTTTATTTTTGTCCGACTGCCCAATGAGCTTTGGCTGATGGCGGGGGGCTTGACCAAACCTCGCCTGCCCCCCCAAGTTTGGTCCTTGGACTACGCTAACTTGTTTTGGCCTAACATTTATAAAGTTGGCAATCTACCTCATCTCTGCTGAACTGTAATTTAATTTTTAGGCTGAAAAGCAATTGGACTCTGGCCAAATCGATCATAAACAGCACCAGGATCTACTATGTAAACTTTCAGAGGTTTATAAGTTCCAGCAGCAACAGAGTGAAGAAAATCAATGGCAACATGGTGACACATCGCTACCACCAGAAGAAAAAGTTTCTGTTGGTCTCAGTGATCTAGCAAGTACAAGTAAAGATAAAGATGAACGAGTTGCGCATCCAAGTATTTTGAAAAAAAGTCGTGCAGATATTACCACTGCTACTAAAGATCAGGACATGCGGTCTGAAAAACCTCAGGATCAGGACATGAGAAAGAAAGATGACACTGATATGCGGAAACTAGTAGCTGACAAAGATGATCGCAAGTCTGACACACAATCTATTGATGATAAGGGTGCAGATGGAGACGAGCTAAACAAAGAACCATTACAAAGTGGGACCGACATTGAAGAACCAATAGCTGTTGATCAAGATATGCGAAAATTACCAAAAGCTGTTGATAAGGATTACCGCAGACCTTCACTAAATGACGACCAGCAATCTAAATCTGAAGAGTCCAACTCAGAAGGAGTATCCGATAAGGATTTAAGGACACAAGGGAAAGTGAAACAAAATGTACATACTAGTGACAGTGATAAAGATGATAGAGTTAAGAAGGCACCTGTAAATGCAAAACAAGATCGAGACTTGCGTCAAAAAAGGAGGGAAGGTCTTAGGTCAGCAATAGCAGCAGCAACAGCTGCAAATGAAGTTGATAAGGATGAACGAGTGGAGAAGATGGTTGACAAAAAAAGAAATTACCATAAAGAAAGAGAACAGAGGTCAGGTTTTGATATGCCAGACTGCTCAAGAGATTTTGATGACAGAAGGGATCCTGTTTGTAGACTAGATGATGCACAACAAAGACCTCCAAGGGATTATGACCATCGTTATGGCCGTATGATAGATCCTCGAGGCATGGATCCATACCCGATTCATCCAAATGCACGAGGAAGGGGAAAACGAGGACCCTTACTTGCTAATCCAGTTCGACATCCTGACATGCATGGACCCAGAAATCATTGGCCTCAACACGAAAGGTGGCAGCAAGACCAACGAAGGCAGCAAAGGAAGACTGCCAAATGGGATAAATGGCGGTCTGATCATCCTGAACATTATGGAAAAGATGTTCCTGACCGTATCCGTCAAAATAGTGCCAGTGAATACCCTGAAAACCCGGCAGACAATCCATTTGGAATGGATCTAGGATTGCCATCCAGAGATGTAGATGAGCGTGTCTTTCAGCGTCCACCACAAAGGTAATTAATATACTGTAATTGTAAAGCTGATAATGTTATTATTTATATGATACTTTAAAACTGTTAACCATCGACCATCAAAAATAAGTTAGAATACTATGTTTCATATGATTTTAATAGATGATTAAGCCTTTTTAATTTGGCACTTTCAGGGAGCCACTTATGAATGATACTGATCATCGAGTACCAATGAACAGATCAGACCTTGATCAACGTGACATGCGCTTATACCGAATGGAAAGTAACCGTTTCCCCATCGGTCGTGGTAGAAGACATATTGGTACTGATGGACGTCCAATGTCTGTTGGTGCAGAGAGAAATCTTCGACCTCAGGTACGTGATAGACCAACACATCCAATGGAGCTTGATGGAAGACGCTTGGGCATTGGTCGGGATAGGAAAGTTATTGTTGGAACCGATGGTAACTTTGTGACTGTAGGAGGACCAGATGGAAGGCGTGGAAGAGATCGTGAAGGCCGTCCAGGAAGTCCACAGCGCCATAGACTAGGACTAGAAGGAAAACATTTTGAAGGTAGACCTGATAGTCGATTTATGCCAGAAGACGCACCTGTGAGTTTTGCTCCAGATGGTAGACCGATTCATCCCAGTAGGGAAAGGAGACAAATACCTCTTGGATCTGATGGCAGACCTGTTCTTGACACAGATGGTAAACCTGTTTCAGATACTCTACCTCATGTAATTGGGCCTGATGGACGACCTCTTCCAATAGGACCTGACGGACGACCACTTCCGATAGGACCTGATGGACGTCCACTTCCAATAATTGGACCAGATGGTCGACCACTTCCTATTGGACCTGACGGACGACCACTTCCGATAGGACCTGATGGAAGACCACTCCCGATGGGACCTGATGGTTCTCTTCCAATAGGACCTGATGGACTTCCTGTACCTATAGGACCTCATCCAGGTATGAACCAACCGTTACCAGTTTCTGGAAACCAATCTATGCAGTTAACTATGGAGATGATAGTGAGTCAAGCCGTCCAGAACGTGGCTCAGATGATTGGACGTGGTATGGGCATGAGCAATCAGAGGTTTATGACTCCAATGGCACAGGTTAATCCAACAGCACCAAACCCACCTACAAATGTATTCCCAGTGGCTCCACCTGTTGAACCAAGTAAGTTCATGCAATTATTTAATAATGAGGGGGCAGTTGTAGCTTGGTGGTCTATATATTTACCTCACAATCCCAGGTCTCTATGTTCAAATCTTGAGGTGCCAGAATTTGTTCTCAACTCACTACTTAATCCATGTTAACATTGGAATAATCAGAAAAATAAAGCTTACCATACATTAATACAATACCAGCAAGTAACCATGAAGAACTAGGCCCACAAATTAAAATAGGACAATGTACATATATTCAAGGCTCTAATTATGTTTATATTGTCTTGATAATTCATGTTTACTGTATGGATGAGTGGATTTATTCAGTGTAAACACCAAAGATAACCCACAGAAGTCTGAAGAACTTATTTCCAGTAGAATCCTTCTGACGGTGATTGGGCAGTGCACTGAGAGACAATCTCCTACTCTAGTATTTATTTTTAACGCTATATTTTGTTTGTTTCACAGGCTTGCCACCTCAACCAGTACCAATTCAGACCCAAACAGATGTCAACTCTCTGTTTGCTAAGCTACTGGAGACTGGAATCATCACTAAAAAGACAGTTGAGGTAGAAAGATCTGATTCTCCATCAGTTGCGTCAGCAGAGACTGAGAAAGAGGAGCCAGCAAAGGTAGAAGAGAAACCAGAATCTGATCTAGAAGAAGAGGAAGATAAAGATTTAATAATACCACCAATAACATTTGATCTCAAAGATTTAAAAGAGTAAGTTTTTTTTTCCGTTGATTTTTTTTTTTTTTTTTTTTCATCAGTAGTTTTATGCATACTGTCTACATTTTGAGTCTACAATTTTATTCCTTTAGAGATATGGCAAAGGATTGCCAATAGTGACTTAATCACTGTAGTATATAGATAGTGTAGGTGGCCATCCTTTCACATGACAAACATATATGCATGATGCTCTACATAAATTGTCTCATAACGAGGCTCATTGAATGAAGTTGCTTTGTCGTGAAAAAAAATTTAGGAAACCTGACTATCAAATTTTTTTTGGAGAAACATGTGACATGCCTAAATATGGTCATGATGACATCAACTCATGACCATATATAGGCACATCATGACTATATATGGGCACATAATGACCTGATATAGGCACATAATGACCATATATAGGCACATCATGACCATATATAGGCACATCATGACCATATATAGGCATACCATGACCATATATAGGCAAATCATGATTATATATGTGCACAGTATGACCTTATATAGGCACATCATGACCATATATAGGCACATCATGACTATATATGGGCATACAACAGTTTTTGTCAAAGAAAATTTGATAATCTGGAAAGTGCCTTGGGATTTGAAGAATCCTATCCCAGAATGCAGTACAGTTGAATGGAAATGTTATTCTAAAATAGAGTACAGTAGTTTATTGATTTAGGCAAAATGAAAAATACTGTACAAAAACTGAACTGATTAATTTTTTGTGATTTCACTTCAAATTTGTAGGCGCTATCCAGGTGTTATAAAGAGCATTTACTCAGGAACTCAATGCAAATCATGCGGTTTACGATTCACTATTGACCAAATGGATCGTTATCGTAAACATCTTGACTGGCACTTTAAACTTAACCGTAAGGATCGGGATGACGTGAAGGCCCGCACATCACGCAGATGGTACACACCAGCAGATAACTGGGTTGTCTTTGAAAGTGTTGAGAACTTGGAAGAAGGAGGTGAGTTATGGAAGAAAGTTTTCTCATCTCAGGGTCCCAAAATCACCCTGTGAGTCGCCAGATCTCTCAGAATTTGGAACAGTTCACACATACCTGATACTGTCAAGGAGACTATTAGCATATTTTTTTTGTTGCTATGGTCTCAAATTCCATGACAACCACCACTCACCTCATGCATTTTGGTTCTTCTAGATTTCTCAATCATTATAAAAGTTGTTTGTATTGTATCTACCTTTACCTTTATCTTTTTTATAGCTGAGAGTTCATTTTTCGAGGAGCAGGCACTCCAGATGAAACTGAATGAGTTTGCAGTAAGTAGTGTGCCCATAATACAAGGAAACGATAAAGATGATGTAAGTTAATTAATGATGTAATGAGCATGCTATTTAATTAATGATATAGTGAGCTCTCTAATTCATTGAATAAGCTAAATTAATCATGAGGTTTGCCATCCTAAATCTTAAACCGAGTAATTAACATAAAAATGTGGTAGTATTATATACTTTTGTACAGAGACGTGTAATACTTTACTTTTACTTTGGCAAAATTTAAGTGGATTCCATTAAATGATCCATTATTTTAAGGCTTATAATGTGCAGAATATGAATATGTAGTTTTTAAAAATCAATTTTCTTGTTTTGGTTACTGATGCTGGGTCGGCCTAGAAACCCTCATATTTGTCAGCCAAGTTCGTGTCATGATGAGCAAGCAAACGATGTGTTATGAACATGCTAATTTGAATAATTAATCATATAGTGACCAAGATGCTTAATGTGGTATAATAACCAAGCTAATTAATAAGCAATTGTCAACTGTTATTAATAACCTTGGCTACAAAAATGTACTTCATAATCTTTGGTGTATGTATTTGTATCCAAGGGTGGTAGACTGGCTGGGCCTGACGTCGGGGAGGCCTATCCTAGCAGTTAGGAAGCCAGGTGTGGCTGGCATCGCTTCGTTTGTATTATAGAATATTAAAGCAGATATTAAACTCTTGATTGCTAATTATACAATACATAATTCAATCTCTATACTGTATTTTACCTTCCTAATATATATTCCAATATAAGCAAACAAAATACTTAACATTTCGTGGTGTTTTTTTTGGACAGATTTGTAAGGTTTGTCATGAACCATTCCAGCAATTCTGGGATGAAGACGAGGAACAGTGGCAGTTAAAAGATGCTATACGAATAGATAATAAGGTGTGTAACTTACCTTTTTTACTATGGAAATGTAATTAGGCCAAATAAAAAAAATTATTGTATTGGCCACACCTGACCGACCCGTAATTGTTCGAAATTGGGAGTCGGCATTTTAGTAATTTTTTTTTTTAATCCGCTAAAAAGGCTGGAATAGACCTATCTTGCAACGGTAGGCGATGCAACAGTGTTATATGCGAACATTTTGCTCTTCAATATAGATTTAAAAATGGTCTTTGTTGTATTTTTGTGTATTTTCTACTTTTTAGGCATAAACATTTTTTGGTAAAAAAAAAAAAAAAAAAATAAAACAAAACTTTCCTTTTTTTTTTTTTTTTTTTTGCAAAACTTACTTACTGGCCTTAAATGTTATGGATTGGTCAAACATATTTATGAAGAGGGTTTTAATGTTTGTTCCTCTCATGTAATTTATTGGACTTTTACTTCCATAACATTTACAAGTTATCATCTAACTTCTTCAATGTTATCTTTTGTAGACATATCATCCTACATGTTATCAAGATGCCAAAGAGGTAGGTCGTTTATCAAGGGATTATAAATAAGGTGTGGGGGTGGGGTGTGGTGCAGGGAGAGGTTTTTTCAGATGGAGGGTTGAGACCAAATGATATTGCTAAAATGACCTAAATTTAAATGTGCAATGTACATTTTTAAGAATTTTTAATAAATTTTGGCTGGGTGGAGGGGGGTGTGAGGGAAAGGTTTCCCCTTTTTTTTAAAGAATTTTTAATAAATTTTGTCTGGGGGACGGGGATGTGAGGGAAAGTTTTCCCCTTTAAATTACATAGATTACATTTACATATTGTTGATTTCTTCAGAAGTGGTTATGTTGTGTGCCATACCACATAACTACATGATGCATAATTTGTATATTAATGCATTCAATGGTGTTTAATTGAAAATTCAAGGGAGTATAGTAGTTGGCCATCTTGGGTTTAAATCCTATTGGGTACTACTGGTATATGTTTTCTAAACAAAACTAGTTATTTTACATTTATAGTGAAATGAGTGTTGTTTTTTTGTGTACAGAATTCTCTGCTGGAGACACCTACTCCAAGCGATGGTATGACTAGTCCTCCATTCAGTTTTAAATCTGTCGAGTCACCACTACAGGCTGCTCCCATTGTTAAGTTGGAGTTCAAAGTTGAAGAACCTGACAAGACAACAGAACCAGTGAAAGTTAGCAACACCCAGGAAACAAGCAATGTTGTAAAAACTGAATCAGACATTAAAGTAGAAATAAAGACTGATATTAAAGCACCACTGACAGAGACTAAATGTGATGATGAACTGATCAGCGATGTTGTAGTGAAAGAAGAACCAAAAGAGGAGCAAGATGCAGCTGCAGCAGTGCCAACAACTGGAGAGTCATCTGAAGTTGCCATTGCAACTACAGAACCTCCTTCTAGTACTCAGATAACTGAAGAAAATCAGACAACTGCAGAATCCGATCCCGTAAAAAAAACAGAACTATCATCTGAAGCTGAATTAACCCAGATTAAACAAGAAATCAAAGATGAAAAAAATACAGATGAGATAAAGAACCTTGAGGAAAAGGATATAAAAACAGAGGGGAAAATAGACACAGAAGAAGATACTGTTGTTAAACAGGAGGAATCAACAGAGGATGAGGGAACAGGTGAACTAAAGATTGACACATCAGATAGTCCAGGAGCTAGCAATGAGGAAGAGCCTATTCCAGTACAGACACAATCCATCAAAGTAGTTAGTGGGGTGCCTAGAATGAGTTTACGTGCAAATAAAGGAAGATCCAATTATCGCGACTGGTGCTGACAGCATTCATTTTGTAAAGCTCTGTTCCCACTATCAATTTTTATGTGACAAATACATTCTATGACATCACTATGCCCATTATATTGGTGACATTGTATAAAAACAAACCACTTGTTCATTTTAAGCTGTCCACACTATCAATTTTTATGTGACAAAACATTCTATGACATCACTATGCCCATTTTTATGGGCGTGATGTGACATTATTGTATAAAAACAAACCACTTCAGACTTGCCAATCCAAAACCAGCATGCTGTTGTTAAACTGAGTAATAGACCTTTCCGGAGTGTCAATCAAACTTAACAACTGACTAATCAAAACAGCGCTAGGAATACGCGCGCATCTTACAAACACATGTGATGTCCCACAAACGCTCGTGTTCGCGTATGTCTTGTGGGACCTTAGCAACAATATCCAAGGGGCGGAGCTTAGCGGAAAGGTCCATTAGCGCAAGAATGTGGCGGTATTGTATACTTATAGTACAAATAAGCGATAATTCCACTCATAACTTTATCATTATCCGATTACTGTAAATGATAGATTATTTTAAACCTGATGAAGTGGAGAATAAGAATATTAAAAAGTCTATTTTCATGTTTTCATCACTGATGGTGGTTTTGGGATGGCAAGCCTCACTTTTTCATTTTAAGCGAAGTCCATGTTATTAAGTTTTGTATGACAAATGCATATACTACGCTTATATATATTGGTGTGATATGACATCAATATGTATTATGAATAAATCGATAACAAATGTTTGTCACAGAAAACTTATGGTGTACTGCGAACAGTGCTTTATACTAAAACAAAAGTGCTCCTTATAATGGGATTGAAATATATAAAATGAAAATATGAAAAAAAAAATGTAAATATTTGTGGCATTGGAAGATGTAAAGAAAATATAAAAAAACTGCCACAGAAGTTAAGTACAAAGTTCCTTATGGGTTCCTTGATTTAAATTTTTTTAAAGTTTGCATTTTGTTTATAACCTGGTAATCTAAAATTGTGATTTGTGTTTCTGTATCCACATTTTAATGTTATCAATAAGTAACATGTATATACAATATTTATTTAAAAAATTCGGAACAGGAAATCCGATTTCAGGAGTCACAAGAACCATATTATTCAAATTGATATTCATGTATAATTCCGTTGAATATTATTGTTTCAATTATCCAGAAATTCAACAAAGAAGTAAATATTTTTTAAAAGTGAAACTTTGTGAATTCTTGAATAAATTTCATATAAAATTGAACTATTTGTATTTATTTTAAGGTATTGACTGGAATCTGCAAAGCAAAAAAATATTCAAAATAATACAAGTAACACAGTTCAAGAGAGGTCTTGCTCCGTATTTACAATGCAGGAAGCTTGTCGTCGAAACAATGTATTCCTCCATGATTGTAGTGAGATAGAAAGGGAGTGAATGAGAGAAAATGCAAAGTGAACTATTAATTTACCACTTTGTACATACGTAGCAGGGGTGGAGCCAGTGGTGGGGGATTGGGCCAAGACCTCACATCAGGACCACAATTCTTCAGGGAGAACAAAAAGTATATGTTTTCTACATATTAGTAGACTCTAAAATTGATTAAATAGGTCTTTGAAACCGCTGAATGTTCGGGGCTTATCGCCCCTTGGACCACTTCTAAAGATTTTAAGTGACGCCTGACCACGCCCACGTTCTCTTGCCAGGGATGAAATCGGTCCCACCCCCATTGGGGACATGGTCAGACCCCATGTTGGATAATCCTGGTGCCACCCCTGTTACACAGCATAGGCATTCATATAAGCTCGCCCCTTTTCGATGTTCTTGCTATAAAGGTCCAACAGAACGACAGTGTAAAAACAAGACGGGCACACGGAAACACATGTGACGGTGCATATTAAATGTGGGGAAAAGAATCATTATATTTGTCCGGCAAATCTTAGCTTTATCTTTACTCTGTAGACTGGTTTTTAAATTTCAAACAATTGTCTTTTTGAAGTGTTGATGATTTTATTATAATGAGAACACAGTTCCGAATGGACGAGGAAAAATAGTAATGTAAGTTTGTATTTGTAAATAATGGACCTTTCCATCTGGAGTGTCAATCAAACTTAGCAATTGACCAACCAGAACAGGGCTAGGAATACGCGAGCGTGTCTAAGTAGTACACGCGTTGTCCCACAAACGCATGTGTTTGCCTATGATTTCACGTTGTAGTATTTTGGTACCTTAGAGATCCAAGGGGCGGGGCTTTGCGGATCCATTGTCTTTTTGGTTTTGTCATCTCAACATGAGTTTAGTTTTACGGCATGAAGGATTTATCCACAAGTTATTCTTTCAAAACGGTAGTAAACCAAAAACGGCAATATACGTGACACACCAAAACGGCAAAGGAGCAGAATCAATGCCAAAAGCAAGCGCCACCGGCCGGATGCAGGCTACCCAGTTTTTAATTTTCCGATTGACTTATTGCCGTTTTGTTCCATTGCTGTTGTGGTAAAAAAGTGTTGCCGGTTTGGTCATTGCCGTTTGGACTTATTGCCGTTTTGGGTTATTGCATTTATTATTTCACAATTAAGTGCACATTCCCAGAAATAAAATGTTATAGATTAATTAAGGATGATAATTTTGAGTGTAGAATAGATCACGATGGAATATGCTTAAATCAATCGAATTTTTAACAGGCATTCAATGTCTTCATAAACTATAGAATTTGCAAAAATTGGATTCACACACACACACACACACACACACACACACTTTTCAGAAAACTTTCAAAAAAAGTAAACGGGAACCAAAGAACAAATGTTAGAGGGCGGCAGATTGATATTGCGAAGAATGGTGGTTACGTGAATGAAGTATTCTAGTTGGCAAAGATGCCAGCCGAAGTTGCAAATGATAATATAATTGTAGTACACGAAAACAATGTTCCAAACATCGTTAAGCCGGTAATTGTTTCAAAGTAATACTAATTAGCCTGTGGGTCTAGGTAACGCTTTGATTTAGGCCTAGGTATATGCATAGATCTTTAATTATTGGCCTAGCTAGGCTAGGCTAGGCCCTCTCTCTAGGCCTAGGTCTGTGCCGTGGTAGTGGTTAGTGGTAGCAGGTGGCAATTGAGGCCTGGAGACTGGTAAAGACTAGCCTAGACCTAGATTAGCAATTCCGGTCGTAGGCATATGGTACTGTAATCAGCACAGGAGTATACTCCTGCTAGGCCAATTGCGAGATCTCAAAGCAAAATTTACAGCGGGGTTATTGAAATTCTGACCGTGAGGCGGTGGAACAGACCGCCAGTTCTCAGTTAAGTGGGTAAAAACGTGGCATAATTAGTAGTAGTAGTGGCATAATTAAGGGGCTGGAGGACCCATCTATCGGAAACAGTTTGTATTATATTTGTATTCTATTTTTTTTTCCCTTCTTACTCAACACATGACCCAGACTGCCACTGGTAAAATACTGCCTGTGTGGGAATATATAAATCTGTCCACGCATTTCTGAAAAAAAAAAGAAAAAATTAGGCCATGGCCAGTCTTGACTGTTACTTATATTACCAATGTATATTATCATGCAATAACAATTATGTGCACTGATTGTTCTCGTGATTTTCCGTGCAAATATGAGCTAGTTTTTGAGGTATCACCTGCACGATTAAAATAATTTACAGTATGGTACATTCCATTGTATGCATTGAAATTAAAATTTTTAAAATAAAATATACATTTTAATATAAATGTGATTTTCTTCCATTTTATCCATAGACTATGGACCTTTCAAAGCTCTCCGATGAAGAAAAATGGAGGTTTGTGCTAATAGAGTGAAATGCGTTTTTGTAAAATAGTAGGGTAGCCACATTATAGTGTTATCATAATATTAATTATCATGATCAGTATTTGCATTATTATACTTGCTGTATCACAACAAATTATGGGAAAACGAGTACAGGATATTTATATTTCCCCAGTATTAAAGGATTTATATGGGCTCAATCAAAATTGTGACCTGATTACGGTAAATTTTCAATTTCCAAAGCAACCTTAAGTGTGAACCCATCTTGCACTCCTGAAGACCACTATGTGGTTGAAAGCTTGACGTGTGTGTATCAATAACATTTGTTATCCGTAAGGTGCTGTTTGTCTTTAGTTTACTGTTTATCCAGCATCATGTAATTTTGTTGGTTAAATGTGCTATGTTGTCTTTCTCTGTATATAGAATTGAGCATAAAAAACTTCATGAAAAGCATAAAGGTCATGAGGCTATGCATGCTGAGATGGTACTGATTCTGATATCGGTTCTGATTGTGGCTCAAGTTTTATTGGTTCAATGGAAACAAAGACGTTACAAGTCTTATCAGGTCAGAATGTGTTCTAATTAGGGAAATTTCGCTTAGTCCGATGACGCAACACTAAAAAAAGTTCATCTTATTCTTTTGTCATGGAAACCAGGAGCAGATCCATAAGGGGAATGGGAGGTCTCCATGCCCACTCTCTCCACCCCCCCCCCACACACTTTTGGATCTGCCCCTGGAAACAGACTGCTGGTAATGAGGATAGAGGCTTTGTTGTTATTGTAATTTATATTTTTCTGTGCATTAGCTTTTCTCTGATATTTGTATACAAAATCATTACATTTTTAACTTCCACTTGATATGTGTTCATATTCATGTATTTAATTCTGAACTTTTTTTCAGGCTGTCACCTTACTAGGAATGTGGCTTATTCCATTTTTCTTTACAATCAACGCACATTGGTGGCGATTTCTTGTCACTTGGATTGTTTTTAGCATCATTACTGGATACATCATCTTCAAAGCCACACGTAAACCATTGCCTGGCAACACTCCTAGGTAAGCTGTGTAGGGCTTCTTGATGTCCAGTAGACTATTGTTTTGCGGGAAACATAATTTGAATTTCGCATTTTTCAGTATTATATTGTTTTGCAGTTATAAATTTTAAAAATATAAAGGGTAAAGGTAGGAGAATAACCCATAACTTTCAGCGTTATTTTGCTGATTGCGTATGGGCGCGGTCTGTGACTATCTAGCTGCTGTAAAATAGCGCTTTTTGGTAGTTACTGTACATGTTGACATCATTCCACAACGACAGGGGCTGAACCCCCTACTCTTCCGAAAGATGCAATGGGTTCTTTAAAGTGCACACGAGCCAGATGTATACACTGGACCTCCATTTTAAGTTCTTATCCGAGAAGACTTGGTTCTACCAACCGAACCATGGGCGAGGAGCGGCTGGAACTAGCGCCGATGTTAAGGCTGTAGCTAGCGGCGCCTCTGTCTTACCGCTCGGCCACTCGACTCGTAAATCGCATTTTGTAGCAATATATGAGGCTTGCCTTCCAACACCAGCGTAATTGTTGCTAATTGTTAAACTGAGTAATTTAACATAAAGAATGTAGCAGTATGTAAGTAGTGGGTGTGGCAATAGTAAGTCCATTCCCATCATTTTAAGAAGTGGTTGGTGCATCAGTTGGAGCTTGGACTCCCAACCTCGCGATCAGGGCTTCAAAACTCTCGCAGTGCAAGTCGCTTGTGTCTTTGGGCAAGGCACTTCATCTACGTTTGTCTCTCTCTACCCAGGAGTATAAATAGGTACCTGGGACTATGTTGTAGAATTGAATGTACTAGTTTCATGTGCTAAGCAAGTAGTACATGATTAGGTATACTCCCCAGTTAGCAGAGAAGGTTGCACTTTGTGTGCTGGTTTGTCATTGTATGTTATCCGATGACCAGGGTTAACATCAATAATGCTCAGCACCTTTGATAATAATAAAAATAATAATATGTCGTTCTTATATAGCGCTTCATGCCTCTACAAGGCCTCTAAGCGCTTCACATTACTACCCCGGTCATTGGATCATATAATTTGGAATTGGCGCTATATAAATATTCAATTATTTTTATTATTATTAATTGTTGAAGCTTTTAATGTGGAGAATATTAACAAAATTTAATAATAAGACTGTACTCAATAAACAAGATACAGTAATCAAAGATGCATCACATCAAATAAATCACTTATATATTGCTAACAAATCCGGCAAACTCTGTCCAATTAATAACAGCTCATCCAGATCTAGAAATTTTGTTTTCAACAACTCAGTTTTTCTTTATAACAATGAATTTAATTTATAAATTCATTATTTAGATTAAGTGTTTAGTGTTTCTAACTTTTTTAACTTACTGTAATAACCTTGTTATTTATTGTGCAATTTGTATTTTCTTATATTTTGTATGTCTGGTTTCACATGGCAAGCCCATGTCATGAAACCTTTATACATTGAATTGGATGTTTTTTTATCTTCTAGGCTAGTGTACAAGTGGTTCTATATCCTGTACAAGCTGAGTTATGCATTGGGGATTGCTGGCTATAGTATAGTTATGGGTACTCTACTTAATTTGAATTTTCTATTTCTGGTTCGGACTGAATCTGCGATGGATTGTGGGGTGTTGCTGCTGTTCTATGGTCTTTATTATGGAGTGCTTGGTCGTGATTTTGCTGAAATTGTTACAGAATTTATGGCAGCTCATATAGGGGTATTGTTCTCATATTATTTTCACTAAAATATAAAAAAAAAAGTATTGTGATATTTGCAAAGTTTAATATAAGATATGAACCATACAAACATTAACATACATTTAATATAGTTCATTATTATCATTCAAAAATTTCTATTGATTTGTGACTTGGGCTTTCTTTTCTATATTTTTGGGGTTTTTTTAAGTGTTTTTTTTCTTTCTATTTTTTTGTGTAAATGTACCAAGTCTTTGAAATAATAAATAATATAGCATCTCTTTATTGCATATTATATAGACTTATCAGTATATTATCATTGACTTCAAACATTATTATGCTCTGTAATTTATTATAAATTTTTGTATTGTGTGTATGTATGTCACAACTTTATTTTATTGTATGTATTAATGTTAAGAGCTTTGAAAGACTCATTTAATTTCTGTGAATTCCTTTAAATTATCTTAAGTCCTGTCCAGACTATCAAATTTTATTTGACAAAAACATGTGACATGCCTAAATATGGTCATAATGACATCACATCATGAACATATATAGGCACATCATGACTATATATGGGCATACAACAGTTTTTTTGTCAAAGAAAATTTGATAGTCTGGATATAGCTTTAGGTGAGACTTTTTTTATACCTTGTTTAGCAAACCCACCGAATGCAAATATTGATGATTTGGAATAAAAATAAAATTTTATTTTTGGCCAATTAGCGCACCTCCTGCCACAAAAAATGGAAATAAAAAAAATAAAAATAGGTTTTTTAAAAATTTTATTACGCCCTCCGCTGACTTGAAAACTCCAAAGATAAAATATGATATTTTTTCTTAATTATAAGTTTAAAGCATTTAACCATCCCATTTTACATTCACCAGTAGTGTAACTAGGTTCTGAGGGGCCCTGTTTCGAGAGTATCGTCGGGGCCCTTGACGTATGAATTAGCAATTACTACTCTTTTACTGAAGTAGTCCATACGAATATATCATTCTGAGTGCGAACCTATTTATGAAATCAGAATTGTACAATTTATATAAAGTAATGATCTGCGGGGCACAATCCAGAATCTTAGTCTTAGGGGCAGGAAAATTGATTACTAAAGTATTATTATATACTGTATACCATATATCATATTTAAATTGCTTGGCTTGGGCATGTATATTTGATTATTTTGAAGTTAAGTTATTAACAATCTTAAATTATAAAGTCCAGTATAAGTATAAAGATAAATATTATCAATCAAGATTTCTCTATGCATTGCTTTATTGGATTTTGTTTATAAGGATGGGCCTACAAAGATAGGGGACCCTTGAAGATCGGAAACACAGGTTCAATAAACCGCCAGAACCTGTGATAGTATACGCCACTGTGTTAGCATGTATAAGTGATTAATTCTAATTTATAATGTGCATTATTATATAAAGACAAATACTATCAACCTAGATTTTTATGTATACATTGCTTTATTGGATTTCGTTTAAGGTGGCGAACCCTTTAGATCAGGGGCTTCTGCAGTTCGTGGGCCCAGGTTCGGTGAACCTGCTGAACCTGCAGTATTTACGCCACTGTATTCCGCCCTCCTCCCATGATCTTTAAAAAAAACAAGTACGCGAAAGAAGAAACAAAAAAATCTCGCCTTTCCAGCTTTGGTTTACCGTTGGTTGTGTTGGTATAAATAGTTTGCGTTTATATTTAATTTTGTTTAGTATTATACAAAAACTGGCCTGCCAGGAAGAACATTAGAAGCTAACATATGTGCAGTTTGTGGTCAACAAATATTTATACCTGATGAAGGGGAAGAAGTTCTTGAAAGAGCCTACGAACTAGGATGTAGTCACAGGTTGGTGAAGATCTGTCTGCACTAAAATTGTGTTTGTATGGCCATATATAGTCATGATGTGCCTATATATGGTCATGATGTGATGTCATCTTGACCGTATTTAGGCATGTCACATGTTTTTTGTTTTTGATTAAGGGTAACTATGGTAACCAGAGCTGATCAATATGGACCCCCAGTACATACAATTAAAAAGAAAAGAAAAAAAAGATGAAAATTCAGCTAGATCTTTAACTTAATTAAATTAAAATGGAAAAAATAAATTTGTGAAAATAGAGTTAAACTTGCTTAAGTAGACTGTGCCTGTATTTATAAAATATTAATTTATAGAAGATATTAAATATAAAAAAAAGGAACACATTGATAAGTAACCAAGCAAAATTACTGTGAGCCTTTTACCAGCTATGATGATGTTATCAACATGACTTTGTCAGTGTGAGCACACAGACACTAAGTTTACATCAATTGGTTTATTAGCATTGAAACAGTCATAATGGGCAAGCCAGATGAAACTATTTAAATATTCTGCCATATTTATTAAACTTAATTTTGCAATTTTTCAGATTCCATGAATTTTGCATAAGAGGCTGGTGCATTGTGGGAAAGAAGCAGATATGTCCGTACTGTAAAGAGAAAGTAGACCTGAAACGAATGTTTAAAAATCCGTATCCTTTTGTCTTGCTTACTGATTTCATTCATTTATTAATGTTTTTTAAAAGTTCTTTCTACTTACACTATCTGGAATGCATGACTCAGAGTATAGGCTGGTTTTGGTCTGGAGGTGAAAAACGCTGGTGGAGGGGGTGTGATAATTGAGAATGCAGAACTAAATCCACATTCCACTAAAAACTTAATTGTCATTTTTAGAGTTTTAACACACTTAGTGTAACATTATTTGTGAAGGTGGGGGTGTGGGTGGACACAGTTAGTGGAACATTATTTGTGGAGGGGGTGGGAAGTCTAGATTCCCGCACAGCCAGCCTACGCCCATGAATTAATTGTCCAGGGGTAGTTGCCACTCTTTAGGTCAAAGGTTAAAAATGAGGTATGATTTGTTGTGCATCTCAATAAATTTCAGAATTTATAGTGTGAGTTAGTTTATGTATCATTTTGTGTATGTTATAACAATTCTTCATATGATTTATTTGCCTTAATATTCTTTTCAGTTGGGAGCGTCCTCATGTGTTGTATGGACAATTATTAGATTGGATTCGTTACCTTGTTGCATGGCAACCAATAATAATTCTTGTTGTACAAGGAATCAACTATGGTTTAGGTTTAGAATGAATTTCATATTAGCATTTAAATTTTTGTAACTGCAAGTATTCTTTTGAATTGGAGTCTGGGGATGGAGGCGTAGTAGGTCAAAGTGCACCGCCATCAACCGTCTTAATTCCCATTCAACTACCAAAAGGTGCCAGTAAACTCATCTAATCAGTACGGAGACGAAACCTCACTACTAGACAATAGTGAAAATTATGCCTACTTTTTCCCATTCATCATTCTGACAAAATCTTCATTGTTTACACAGGGGCAACACCCTATCTCCTCGATCCTACAATTGTTACCATGTACTAACTTGTGTTTGGAATAAAGTTCTGTGTTCTAATGTTTCTCGTTGTATGCCTTACGATCTACCAGGTCACATGACAACTGAAACTAGAATTACTTGTATTCAGCCCTCCTCAAAACACAAGGATAGCTTTCTTGTTTTCAGAAACCTGTTTCATGTCTTGACAAACTGAAGTACAAAAA